GTGCCAGGGCTGGCACCCCCCGGTGCTGCCCCTGCCCCTTCCCCGCCGCTGTCCCGGGGCATGCAGACGGGCTGTCACACCAGGACAGCTTGGAGAGACAGCTTCAGGGCCTGCAATGGAAAGCCCTGACCCCCTCTGGATTTTTCTGATGTTTAAGGGTTTCTGCCCAGGTGTTTGTGGCCCGTGAGCCTTGAAGGGGTTTGTGAAGAGCTGATGAGGAAAATAAACCCAGGGATGACTCCAGTGCGGCTGGGGACAGCACCGAGCCAAGGCCACAGGTTCTGCACAAGCCCTTCAAAGCCTGACATTAGACAGAGGATCAGCGTGGCCCTCAGGCAGTTCAACACCTCAGGAACAACCATGTCCAGGATAAAACCTGCACAAAGGTTTCCCTGGAGCTCCCAGGACTTACAGGGAGTCCTGTGGGAGCTGGACATTTGGGAAGCTCACTGCACGTCAGCCAGTGAGCACCAGTGGAGGTGCTGGCTCTGCCAGGGCTTGCTGTGCTGGACGTGGAGATGTGGGGTGAGGGACACGGGGCAGTGGGGACCTGGCAGGGCTGGGGAATGGTTGGACTCGATGATCTGAAAGGTCTCTTCCAACCAAAACAACTCTGTGATTCTATGACATTGACCCGTGGGGCTGTATCCCACGTGTTTCACTTCGGCTTCAAAACAATCACCAAGAGCTAAAATTCCCCTCACCCCAAGGAGGGATTGATTTCATAACTGTTCTGGGGAGCTCAAAACACACTGAAGTTCCAATCCTCTCAGGCTGAACACACTTCTGCTTCTCCCCAGGCTGAAGCTGGGCTTTGGTGACCAGCCCTCCCCACACCAGCAGAGTTCACCGTCTCCTCTGCAGCGTGGCTCCCCAGCATCTGTGCACAGCCAGCATTCATCTCCAGCACTAATCCTCTGAGGGAACGTGGCTTTCAGAGGCACTTATCCCTTGGCCCAAGGCTGCAGGCCATCAGCCAGGCCACTTTTCCAGAGCTGGACTTGTTGCTGTGGCCGCAGCTGGTAGTGAAGGTGACTGCCAATGGGAACATCCAGCCCACATGGCAGAGAAGGCCCCAGAGCTTTGTCTTTTGACTCTTCCCACGTATGTGTGACTCAGTTTTGGGCACCTATCTCCTTTTTCCTGCACTGAAATACCAGTCTCTTCTGCAAGTAGTGGCCTGGCCTGTGTATCACTGTTCAACTACATGAATTAGAAGAAGTGTCTGCCTGCTACCATGAAGTTTAGAGCTCCCTAATTTGGGCCCACAAAGCTGCTTAGGGTGCAAGCTTTGGGGATCAGAAATGGAAAGATCACTTCAGAACTCAGCCCTGGCCAACAGCACCCTGGGGTACAAGCTCGGGGTAAAGATCTGTGGGAAGAGGGGGAGCTGGTAACCCCCTGGTGATGGGAAACTCTTGCTCCTGAGGAGCCCAGAGGGCTGGTGGGTGCCCAGCACCACCCGCTCTCACCTGCACACTTGAAGTGCACCTTTGCCATCAGTGCCCGGAGGGGTCCCTGGGGGGACAGCCAGCAGGACCCCCCCACCGGCGGCTGGTTGGGGAGCAGGTCGATGGAGGCAAATCCTTCCTCCCCTGTCGTGAGGTCTGTGATGTGCAGGGTGAACGTGTACCCCTCCCCATCCTTCAGAGCCCCTGGCCTCAGCACCAGGTTCATCCCCGTGTCGCCAGTGGAGGTAGTGGTTTTGTCCAGGATGAGAGACTTGTTTTTAAAGCTGTGTGCCACCCATCTCTGCAGAGATGAAGAAGGGAAAGACAGGAGAGGTTTTGTTTAAATCTGAAGTGATGTCCTTAAAACGTTCTCAGATTGAGCCTCTTATAAAAAGCAGCAGATTTCTAGTGGGAGTGACTGCCAAATTTGCAGTTGATAATTCAGCTTTAGTCTTGGTGTGCTACAGCAACAAGAACTGGAACCTTTCCAAAACGTCTGGTGGGAATATTTCCACTGTGAGATCTACTTTAGTCTCTGGGATTACATCACCCTCCGACAGAATATTTCATAATACAGAATACAAAACACAGGAAATAAATTAAGTACTGGTGGAGTCTCCACGGGATCCCATGTTTTATGTGCTTCAAGCTGAACGTGTCCTGGATGGTTACTGTTAATAGCACAAACCTACAGGCCTGACAAGAGGAGTGAGATGGGCAGCAAATGCCACACAAGTACATGCTGGGAGCAATCTAGACTAGATCTCACAACAGGACTTCCACTTCTCAGACCTGCTTCCTTCAACAGGTCACAAAGATGCTACATGGTGGAGTCTGTCATTAGAAACGGGCATGAGGGACTTGGGGGATCAGAAGAGACTGGACCACCTCTGCTGGAGCCACCAGAATAACAGGCAAAATGCCAGTCAGCAGGGAGAAGAAAATGCTCTGCAGGTCTCTTCTAGGAAAAAAGGTGGTTTTTGTGTGACACGAGCTGGTCACTCATGGGCTTGGCTTGAAAATGACACAGCAAGGACTTGCCCTTGGGTGGGTAGAGACATGGATGGAGGACTGACAGGCCACATGTCCTGCAGCCTACAGGCACAACCCAGGGCAAGGGAAAGCTCTGAACATCTCACAGGGCATCCAGTGGCTACAGGACATGGCTCCAGGAGAGCTGCACGGGCTCCCCCAGCCTCCCCCTGCTGCTGAGACACAGCATGGTGCGTGGGAGCCCCACGGCACACCAGGCAAGGGCCTCTTCCAAAGTTCTGGCTCTGGAAGCCAGTCCTGCAGCCAGTTCCAGGGGCTGTGATGAAGAGCAGTATCAGCCAGGCCTCCTCATCCCCTCAGCCAGACCCAGCCTGCCACTGCACTCACGGCCAGAGACTGTTTCCCCTCCTTGTCTCTACACCACTTTAGGTCCAAGACATTATTTCTCACGCAGCCCTTTCCAGCCTGGCCTCTCTGACTCCCCCCTTCTCCCAGGAGTCCAGCAAAGGTGAAGCAAAGACCAGCCTTGCTGATGACTTTACCCCGAGCTTGGAGTCGTTGTGACAGTTCTGGCAGGTCCCCTCCAGGTAGACATAGGAGCTCTTGCTGACTTCGTAGACAGACTGAGCCTTGCAGGAAACACACTCCAGGGACACGATAGGGACTCCCCCCCTCTTGATGAACACCTAGGGAAACAAGAGGCCCCATCAGGAGATCTGAGACAAAAACACAGACATCCAACAGAGAGGCAGACATCCCAGCACCTGGTTCTGCAAGGAGGAATCGCTCTGCACCAGCCCAGACTGTGCTAAGGGAACAGCAGAAAGGGATTTCCAAAGGATTTCAGGCCAGACTTGAGCTACATCACTTTTCTTACAGAGCAGCAGTCTAACTGGGAAGAGAAAAACCTCCACTACAGCACAGACCAAACATCTGCTGAGCACCTGCCCCAGGAGAAACTGCAGCTCTGCTTTGCTATCTGTGGGCCAAACTCTGGGTCCTGTGCCTGCAGCCGTGGAAGCTGGGCCAGAAGGTGGGGTCAGAGCAGCTCTGCTGAGGACACAGCAGCCTGGGGGCAGGGGCCCTGTCCCCCCCAGAAGGCTGCTAAATGGGAAGTGTTTGGAGCCCTGAGAAAGGGAGGGCTCAGGGAGAGCCAGGGAGCCTGGGCTTCCTGAGGATGTGCTGCCCTCCCCAAAGCCAGCACGGTCCCACGGCCTCTCCCATCCCTGCTCTGATCTAGAGCTTGGCCCAGAACCTCACACCATGTTTTAGAACCCTTGGGCTCTCGAGTGCACTGCCTGTGCAGGGCCATCATTTCTGACACTCCTGCTATCCCTGAGAGACAGGAATGATGATAAAAGCAGCCAGAAAAGAGCTCCCACTGTGCATCAAACACGTCTGGCTCTGCAGAATGGAAGAACCACCTTTCCCAGAGTGCCATCTTCACAGAACCATGGAAGCATAGAACAATTTGGGCTGGAAGGGACCTCTAAAGGTCATCTAGTCCAACCAGTGTCGTTCCAGGCTGTTAGCTCAGCTCTAAGCAGCCCATCTCCAGACGTCTACCACACCTCCCTGGCAAAGCACTGGCAGAGAGGAGAGCTTTAGCTGAGGGGAGGCTCAGACACGCCGGCTGCTGAGCTCTGACCCCTGCACTTTGTCAAAATTCCAGCTTTTGACAGAGCCCTCTGCTCTGCCATAACGAATATCCTGAACTCAAAGACAGTGATGAAGACGTTGTTTAATATGGCAGAGCTTTAGGAGAGGAGAAGGACTCCCCAGCTCTAAGCCTGAGTGCATTGCAGCTCCATTCATTCCTACAGCATGTGCAAATTTCCTGCGACACTGGAATCATTGTTTTGTGCTCATGCGTGGAAACCAGCTAGTACAGAATGTCCTTGAAAGACTATCAATTGAGTTCTTTTTTTCTTTTTATCCTCCAGCTTTGGTTTAAAACCCAGGCAGTAAGAGTTTCCACTTTCAGACTAACTACATCTCCCATTGCCAAAGGCCCCACGATGAACGGTTCTGACAGAAACCATAAGTGCTGCCGGCCTGCAGATGTGTTCAGTGTCAGGCTTCAGCTGACATAAACAACGTGCACTCAGAAAAAATCCTCCCTTAAAAACATTCAGCAGAGAAGAGAGGAACTGTTGACAGTAAAATTAAGTCCCAGCTCTTAGGAAGCTCTCTCTGGGCAAAAAACCGAGGGTGCTGTGACACGGGGAGAGCCTGGGACTGCAGGCAGAGCTGGAACTCCTCCCGACCACAGGCTCCTCTGCTGTCCTCCTGCAGCAGATCTGGGGCTGCAGACGCTCAGTCCCAGCAACAGTGGCCAGAACCAGCCAGGGCTGGGTCCCTAACGCAGCCTCTGCACAGACAGAGACTAACCCCAGTTCTAAAGGAGGGAAAAAACTAAAAGGGGTTATCAGGACAAGCCCCAAGTGCTGCCTTATATCCATAAGATGAATCTATCAGGAAATATCAGTGTTTTTTTACCACAGACCTGGGTGGGATCAGTTAGGGAGTGGCAGCAATGCCCTGATCTCAGCTCCCCTGCCTTCCCGTGCTGGCTGGTGCAGGCAGAGGCGCTTCCACCCCCAGCTGAGCTGGGCCCAGGGGACAGAGCCTGGGGAGCCCCCGTGGCTGGGCACAGCCGTGGGTCCAGGAAATTCCTTATGGATAGAGCCCCGGAGCTGCAGTGGGAGCAGCAGCCCAGGGGGGCAGCCTGGAGCAGTACGTACGGTTTGGTTGGTGGCCTCGGGGCTCATGCCCTCCTTCCTGACAGTGAGGTCGAAGGTGTACTCCACACCTGCTTCCAGGGCAGCTTTGGAAATTGTGACAATTCCTTCCTTGGCACTGAAATTCAGAGAGCACCCTGCAGCCGAGCTCTGCTTGCAAGGAGAAAAGAACTTTCAAACCCTCCTTGGTACGGGTGCACGTCGGGTTAGTCCCCAGCCCAAACACTCAGGTCCACACACAGCCACTGCTCCAGATCTCCCTGTGCAATGCCACCTCTGGGGTCGCAGCAACGGGGTGGTGGGTGGCCAACACAGCACATTGTCCTGCTCTTCAGGTTAGTAAGCAGTACTTGGAAGACTCTGTATTTCACCTGAGCTTCCAATTCTGATTTTATAGCCATTAATTCTTTATTAAATGGCTTTTAACACAAAAAGCTCACGTTAAATTGCAAAGTCTAATCCACACACACACTCCACATCTTTCTATTTTGAGGTAAAAATAGGAAACAAAGGCTTTTTACAAGGAAAAGAATCCCACATTCAATTAGAAAATGCTCCCGAGGTGGATATCCCCTGAGTGTCTGAAGGGCAGCTCCCCCTTGCCCTCCCACCCCTGTGGGGTCACACCATCTCAGCGTGTGAGGACAGGGACCATGACTTGTGGTCACTTGACTCCTCTGACTGGCCCCTGATGGCATTAGAGACATTCCACTGGAACAGGAGAGGGACCAGAGCCCTCAGGCCCCAGGCTGCAATCACAGCAGCTCTGTAACACCTTCAGGTTACACAAGGAGCTACATGGAAACTGTGACCCCACACAGAACAGCTTCCAGTGCCCCCACGGCTGCCAAGCCCAGGGACTCTGCTCAGCACTGGCCTGCAGCAGCTCCTCCCAGCAGCTGACCCACCATCCCCCCGAGCTGGCAGCTGAGAACCTCTGCAACCCTCCTTCGGAGCAGCCTTGTTAAAGGTGCCCACAAAAAGCTTCATAAACCCACCATCCCAACCCAGGGACATCTGCAGTGGAGCTGATGTGCAGTGGGAGCTAGCTCCCAAACGACCACCCTCTCTGGCTGTGCCAAACTGCTCTTACCTTGGAGGAGAAGGTACAAGACCAATCGTACAACAACGGCGTCTGTTCACCGTCGTCCAAATTCGGGTCATAGGACTTCTCCCCATCCAAGATTAAGTCCTGAGTGTTGGACCATACACGGTAGGACCCCCCATCAATGATTGGGACCAGCTTACTTGGTATCACAGTCACATTGGCAAAGATGCTTTTGGACAGTGGGGTATCTCCAAAGGAGACGATGAAGATGAAGCAATAGTTCCCCACTGCCAGGGCGAGCTTGGGTATAACTAGCTGGGGCCTGTTCACATCAACGTTTGGCAAATGGATCCTGCTGGAGTCATCCAAGTTCATGCAGCTGGGTGCTCGGTAGATCTCCCAGAGATGTTCTGTCTGGTACTTGATGCAGCCTCGGAGGTCAATCTGTGCCTCTAGGTAGTTCCTCTGGGACCGCTTCATGACCACCTGAGGGGGCAAGGCCAACTCCACCTCTGGCTCCTCACACTCCAGGACTTTGACAGTGATGGTGAGGTGGGCTATGAAGAAGCTGATGAGATTGGTGGCATTCACCTCCACCAGGTAATCCCCAGGACTCAGGTAAGAATAGTTGGCCACTGCAACCCTGGTCATTTGAGTGGAAGAGCCATCCCCAAAGGTCCACAAAAACTCCACACTCCTGCTGCTGGGCACCACTGCTGCTTCAAACAGTGCTGTCCTGTTGACAAAGGCATTGGAGGCAGTGAGGGAGACGTGGACTATTGGGTCTTGGACCTGGATGGTTCTGGTGATATTGATACCTCCCAAGTCATTGAAGGCATGGAGGTGAATCTGGAGCAGCCCTGCAGCCTCTGGGGTGTAGGAAACACTCTCTCCTGCCACAGTGACCACGGATCGACCTTCCTCTTTCCACAGGGAGAACTGCCAGGAGAATGACACGCGGGAGCCACTCCCCACCTGGGCACTGAAGGTCTTCTCTGTGCCCGTGGGTATCCCTTCCTCACAGCAGTTCAGGAGCCTGACGTCACGGATGGCCTCCAGGACAGAGATGAGCACCTGGGCGTGGGCAATGCTGATCTGGTTCTGCACGGTCACTGTCACCAAGTAATCACCACTCTTGGTGAACTCGTGGGTGTACTTGGACCCGTTGAGCACCACGGAGTAGTCCCCACTTATGCTCACCAAGTAACTCACAGAGGTCCCCGACAACATCCTGATGACGAAGGTGACCCGTTCCCCTGGCTCCACCACCTTCCTGCGGCGTGGGCAATGCTGATCTGGTTCTGCACGGTCACTGTCACCAAGTAATCACCACTCTTGGTGAACTCGTGGGTGTACTTGGACCCGTTGAGCACCACGGAGTAGTCCCCACTTATGCTCACCAAGTAACTCACAGAGGTCCCCGACAACATCCTGATGACGAAGGTGACCCGTTCCCCTGGCTCCACCACCTTCCTGCTGAAATCCTGTCCAGCACTGAGATGTTCCTGCTGGCCAAGGCCCAGCTGATGTCGTTGGATGCGTTCAGATAGACTGTATAAAACCCTGCTGTGGGGAACGCGACCGCCACGGACTGGCCACTCAACGTGCCATTGGGCACCTCCCAAAGCCACGTCACTTCAGTCCCTCTCTGCAGCTCCCCCTCAAAGACCACCGTGGAGCCTGAGGAGACGTATCTGCAGTCCAGTTCTGCAGTGCCTATGCTCAGCCCCTCTATGACCTCCTCTACACAGACAAAAACTGTTGCGTTGGTTGAATCCAGCTTGTTTTCTGCTCCAATGATGACCTCCATCATCCCAGGGCTTTGGAAGGAGTGTAGAACGAAGGGTTCAGAGGTCACCAGAGAGAAGCCATCCCCGAGGTACCACACATAGGTGACACCAGTGCCACTGGTTATGGTGGTACTTATGTTAACAGAGGCATTAATAGCAACTGGGTTGGGGAAGGCGTGAGGCTTTAGAAGACCAATGCTCTCAACGAACTCCAGCGTCCTGTTAGCAGTTCCACATCCCAGCATATTGGTGGCTTTCAGGTAGACAGTGTAGTTTCCAGCTTCTAGGATGGTCAAGGAGAAAGTTTTCCCAGTGGAGGTCTGCACAGCGCTGCCATCCCGCTGGGCGACCCAGCTGTAAGAGATGTTTGTTCCCTCTCTGACCACTGCCTGCAGATGGAGCGTTTTGTTCGTGGGGAAATAGAGGTCCTCCACCAGGTCACTGCTCACCACCTGCAGGCCTTCGATCTGCTCCAGGACGTAGACATAGATGCTGTCCTGCAACGAGCTGATCTTGTTCTCCGCCGTCACGATGACGTTGAAGGTGCCCACGGAGCGGAAGGTGTAGGAGATAGTGGAGGAGCCTTGGATGGGCGTGCAGCGGTCACAGAGGATCCACGAGTAGCGGGTGGCAGTGCCAGCTGCCAGGGTGGCTACGAAACTCACCGAGCCATTTAATGGCACCACAGTCCTGCTGGCATTGATGGTCAGCCCCTGCAGCCGCCGCTTCACCGTGACGCCGACGACGGTCTCGTTAAAGCTCACGTCGTTCCTGCCCGTCACACTGACAGTGTAGTGCCCTGTGCTGTTGTAGGAGTGGGCAGCGACCTGCCCAGGCTGGGTGGTGCCATCTCCAAAGTCCCAGCAGTAACTCACTTTGGTTCCATTCATGCTGGCAGAGAACAGGTAGATCTGGTTCAGCTCCAAAACGTCGGTGCCGTTATACTCAATCTTTGCTCCCCCAACTGGCTCCTGCACTTCCACAAACGCCGTGTCGTTGTTGAAAGAGACGTTGTTGGAGACGGTCACCGTGACCAGGAAGACCCCTGTGTTCTTGTAGGTGTAGGTCACTTCAGTCCCACTCGACCTCGTGGACTCGTTGTTCCCGAAGTCCCAGCGGTAGCGGTACTGGTAGAGGGGCAGGGCGCTGACCTGGAAGCTGCTCTCTTCCCCAAGCCTCACGAAGGGCTTGGCGGGGAGAAGGGTGACGTTGAGGATCTCGGGCTCCACGCAGACGCTGGTGAAGTAGTGAGCCTTGTTGAACCTGCTGGAGAGAGTCAGGGAGAGCGGGAACGTGCCGCTGCGGGTGAAGTTGTGCGTCACCACCGGGTCCCCACCGACCGTCACGTTGGAGGAGCCATCTCCGAAAGTCCAGTCAAAGATGTACTCCTCAGGGTCCCCCGTCACGTAGGCGGTGAGCTGCACATCGGGGTGCTCCAGGATGCAGGAACTCGGCTCTATTTTGAGCACTTCCAGGACAAATATCCACAGAGGCACGGCCTGGGAGACGGAGTTCACCGGGTTCACGGCCGTCACGTTCACGGTGCAGTTGATGTCCTTCACGTAGACATGTTCTACCACTGGCACCTGACTCCTCAGCACTGTCCCATCCCCCATGTCAAACGTCCAGGTGATGCTGTCCCCAGTCTGCACCGAGGCATTGAGGGTCACAGGTGCCCCCACCTCTGCTGCCTCATCCACAGAAACACGGAGCCCGGTTATCTCCTCAAACACCTGGTAGCACTCAACCGTCTCCACGCTGCTGATGGTGTTGTTGGCCGTCACGGTGACGTTGTACACCCCTCGCCGGGGGTAGCTGTGTGTCACTGCAGAGTGGCTCTCTGAGAACAGTGAGGACCCATCCCCAAAGTCCCAGGTGTAGACGACGCCGTAAGGAGATGGCAGCGGATGGGCTCTGAAGGTGACCGGGCGGCTCACCACCAGCACGTCCTCCTCTGCTTCCATCTTCACATCGACCAGGTAACTGTGGATGTGCACTGGGCTCAGGTGGGTGAGGTTCTCAAACTGGTTGGACACGACAACCACCAGCGTGTACTCGCCTGCATTGGAAGAGGGCAGAAGAAGACCAGTGGTGAGGACGGGCTTGAGCAGCAGCTGCCTCGGAGCGCGACGGGCCCTGCAGGGACAGACCCTGCTCCTGGCTGCCCACGCCTGGGCTTCCCTCCTCCAGCCCAGGGCCAGCAGGGGTCACAGCCAGGCCAAGCCCGTGGGGACCAAACGCCAAGTCAGAAGTCCTGCCTGTCTGCCCAGCCCCAGCCCCTGCCATGTGCTGCAGCCCTCCCGACCCCCCTCCCACCAGCACGGAGCTCGCCGGCCGCTCATCCCCCTGCTGAGACTGCCCAAATGCCCTTCAATGCTGAGCTCAGTGCTTACTAGATCATTTTGTCAAATACGTTTTGCAGACATATTATGAGTCCCCCAAGAGATTTTTAAAGTTTACTTGTATAAATTCAAGGTTTGATCATGTACTCGGGGATTTTAACGAACACAGATGTCTCAGAGTAAACAAACTGACATTTATCTGCCCCTCTCTGTGTACATTTCCCAGCGTTGCTGGGGTTTATTCTCATGTATGTTCCTACCAGCTACACAAAAGGAAGATGGTATCAACTGCTGGAAATTCAGAACAACTTTTTTACTGCCATTAGACAGGCAACCAGCATTACAAAAGCCACACACATCCCAGATGCAGACGCTTAATGGCATCAACAGAGAGCAGGTTCTATATGGCAGTGTCATGTAAATGAGATTTTCTAAGTAAGGGTCTTCTTCCTCCTCTCCAACAGAAACAAGGTGGAGTTACACCCTCTCCTTGTAACCCCCAGGCAACAAAAATGCCCGAGCCCCTTCTACCCCAAAGAACCATCCTGAGCATACCTGGGTCCTGATAGACGTGTGAAACGTTGTGCTCAATGACAACCTCATGGACGCTGGGATCAGGAACAAGGAAAGACTTGTTGTAGGGAGGTTTGAACAGGTATGTCTCCTGGACACCATCTCCAAAATCCCACCTGGAAAAACACGCAAAGCACGTTACACTGCACAACAGGGGATTCATGGAGATCCCTGAGGAACCCTGGCCTGGCCTAGGGCTGTGGGGTTTCCAGAAAAAAACATAGGAAGCATAATGCCAAGAATCAAAGCACACTGTGAGGAGAGGACAGCACTGCTGAGAAGAGGAGGAACCTGATACTGAAGCCACGCTGCAATCCTTTAGAAGCAAAGTCTTTAAGCCTGAACTATAGGTCACATCCAGTATGACCGAACCACACCTTTGGGGGCTTCAAATTAACCAGAGAACAGCTCAGAAATGGGCCAATTGCCACTAGCTGGGAAGAGAAAGAGTGCAGGCAAGACTGGAAACGATGCACAGCAAGGCCCTGAGTTCAGGCAACTTGCAAAGGACTCACAGGAACATGGCATCCACTGCGGAGTCCACCCGCACCCTCGCCGCAAGCTCCACGGGGCTGTTCTGAGGGAGGGCTGGCAGGACACCCAGCACAGTCAGGTTCTTCATCCTGTTCATCAGCTCCACTGTCACATTGTAATTGACCGTAAAGTTACTGACGTGGTTGGAGGCGGTGAGCTGGGGAGGACAGTGGGACAAAGAATGCATTTGGGATCACCTTGCCATGCTGCCCTCTCCTGAGAGTGGGGCTTCACTGGGCTGAAGAGGTCCCACCAGGCAGGAGACCAGATGGGGTCAGAGAAGTGCTGCCTGCAGGACAGGGAGGCAGGGGCAACAGCCTGAATGGCACTGGAAAGCAGCACAGACTGGAAGGTCACCTAGTTGATAAAGCCACCTCTTGCTGGAACCACCACATCTCTACCACTAAAGTCAGCCTGAGGAAGGACTGGTTCTACAGCAAGAGGACAAGGAGAAGAGCTTCTCATCCCGAGACTCCTCTGGCTCTGAACTTGCCAGTCACCCTTCTGCCTGCTCTGATGTGCCCCACACAGTGTCCCCAGCTGCTGAGCCCAGGCACTTGCTGCCCCCAAGGGGGCAAGAGCCACCCAGCTTCCTTAGGACAGAGGCAGAGCAGTGCCTCCAAGCACAGAGTGGGGATGGGAGAGATTCCTCAAACCAAGCACGCCAAGGGCAGCTCCAGCACCCTGGGTGTAGTGGGCACAGAGAGAGCAAAGTTGGGCAGAGGAGGGAAAGGGAGAATGGACAGACAAGAGGCTGAAGAGATGTGACAGAAGTAGAGCAGGATCCTCAAGATTATCTAGGCATGTAACACTGATGTAGCACCTAATGAAGAATCACCCTGGCACCTCCTCATCTTCAAACCCAGGTGAACAGAGATCACCTACCCCAAGAGATAAAAGCAGCCTGTGTTCAGGGTTCTGTGGATCTGCTGCACTGAACCCATGGAGCCCTGACTAATGCCACCCTGTCAGCTCTGTAAGTGAAAGCAACCCAGGCTCACCAGTGCAGGGCTTCACACAGCACATCAGTGCGAAGGACAGGAGGGCACCAAGGCAGTTAGGGCCAGCACGTCCTCAGAGCTTGGGCTGCCTGATGTCTCTCCCAGGAGCCAGCAGTTACCCTGTGAACAGCTTGGAGCTCAACCAGGACCCTGGGCATGACACAGAAAGATGTTCTGGCCACAGATAAGCTCCTGTTCCACAATGGATACCTCCCCTCTGGCCAGACTCTCTGCTCTGTCCTTCTGGGGTTGTGACAAAACCCAGCACTCCAGTCTGCACCAGCAGAAAGAAAACACAACAGAGGCCAGAAGAGCTTGTGGCAGAAGCTCTGTCCTGCCTAGGAAAGTCTTACGTTTGCATCCTGCCTCTGCCTGGTTCTGGATCCACATCTCCTGGCTGCCAAAGCAGTGGCCAGCACCCTGCAGTGGGGCTCCCTGCCTCCTTCCTGCTGGGGAGGAGTAAGGGCAGAGGCTCCATGAATAGAAAGGAGAACATGGAGGAAAGAGGAGAAAGCAAAGGTGAGGAAGACAGCAAAGTCAGCTGTAAGGGAAGGACAGGAGGGAGCTTGCTATTTGCATTTGCAAGAGCAGCTCAGTGAGAAACAGAGAAGCTTGTTAGGAGCACAGTGAAAACCTCCTCAACTCAACTCTGCCTTCTCCTCTCCCTGCTGCTTTTCCTGCCTCCTTTGTGGGATTGAAGTGGTACCATGGGAAACGCCTTGGCTTACCGAGAGCTTGTACACAGCAGGGCTTTGGTAGATAACGTTGAAGACAACATTGTAAAAAGTGAAAGATGGTTTATCATCTACTGTCCATCGGAAGGTCACATCTGACCCAGCTTCCATCACAGGGATGTAGCTCTGAAAGGCATGAGAACATTTTTTACTAGTGCAAGAGAAAAGCACTCCAGCACTTCCCAGATCTCCAGCTGAACTGGCGAGAGAGCAGAGCCAGACTGGGAGGCATCACGCCCCTGCAAGGCAGCACTCCCAGAGCAGCACACAGAGGTGCAAGGTCACCTCTGGCTTTGTTGCTGGTAGAGAAATGCAGACCCTGACTCCATAAATCAGCAGAGCAGGGAGCAGAACCCGTAGCACCTGCTCCCACACCCTCAAGCTCTGCTCTTGTGGTCAGGTCTTCTTCTTGCTGGTTAAAAAACTTGCAGACACCTCTGCAGAAACAGCTCAGCTTCAGCCACACGAGCCTCTGACCCTCATCCATTGATGGTACCCAACCCAAAGTCTAAAAGTGTTGACCTGCACTAGAGAGGGTGGGCTCCCTCCTCACTCCTACAGTGCTCCTGAGCAGACCATGGCAGCCAGGAAGGGTGAGACCAACAGGCATTGCAGGCACAGGGTTCTGCCATAAGCAGCCAGAGGTTGAACAGAGCATTTCACAGATACCAACGGGCAGCTCTTGGACAGGTTCCCAGGGCTTGGGGGTAGCTCTGGGGCCAGGGGATTGGAGAAAAAAAAGACTGAGAACACCAGACTTTGATGGATGGATGAAACATTTTCACAGCTTCAGCCAGCTGATAGGGCAAGAAGAAACGGCCTCAAGTTGCACCAGGGGAGGCTTAGGTTGGACCTGAGGAACAATTTCTTGCCCTGGAGGGTTGCCCAGGGCTGTGCCAGGCTGCCCAGGGCAGTGGTGGAGTCCCCACCCCTGGAGGGGTTTCCAAGCTGTGGAGATGTGGGGTGAGGGACACGGGGCAGTGGGGACCTGGCAGTGCTGGGGGGATGGTTGGACTCCATGATCTGAAAGGTCTCTTCCAACCTAAATGATTCTGTGATTCTGTGATGTAAGGATTTAGTAAATTAAACCAAACCACCTGAAGGAGTATCTACCTTGACAAGTCAAAAGAAGGGAAATACTGGCCTGTCACAATGCCTCCAGTTCCCTGTGGATCTGGCAAGGCAGCATCCCCCTGTCCCCCTCGCAGGAGGTGCTGCCTCACCCCCGAGGGTGTCAGAGACGCAGCTGAGCT